CGGACCGGACCCGGCCTGGGCCGGGACCCGACAAGCGTTCGTTCGCATGCACCAAGCAGACGGTAGCTGACAGGGAGAGGCCTCCCCCAAGGCGGCAAGCCGCCGTCGAAGGACACCGGCGGGAGAACGTTAAGGGAGCGGGCACCGCCAGCAGCCCCAGGAAGCAACACACACCGGTGCGGGGGGGACTCCGACCCCATCACCATGGCCCCCACACCGTCCCAATTCGCGGAACACACACACACACCAGCTTCCCCAGACAGCACCGACGTCCCCCTCCCCCGTCCAGCCCGACCGTCTGGTCCCAGGTGCACTCGCCGGGGAGCGCTCCCCGGGGCACGGCGAGAGGGAGCGCCATTTACGGCGCCCTTAGCACAGGACACTCACGAAGCTGAGCCACACATGCGGATCCCCAGCGCCAGACGCCAGGCCAGTCGGGTTAGAACCCTCCCCTGGCTCGGAGGGGGGAGGCTCGGGCCATGGTAGGCAAAGATCTGGGCACGCAGCCCCACCCAGGCCGGCGGACGCACAAACCCCCCTTCCCCAGAAGGATTGGAGGGGGAGGCACAAGCATTCTCGCCTACACACATCGGTTGCAACGCGTGCCAAGAGGGGCGGCGACTGGGGGGTCCGGCACCCCAAGGCACCCTCGCTGACCGCTAGAGAAGGCTTTCTCACCGAGGACGGGTCGTCCCCAACCCCATCGTCGCCCCACGCTGGACTCCACACCCAGGCGCCTAGGGAGACGCCGGGCGGGCTGAGGGCAAGGGACCTGCAATATAGGTGTGCACCGTTGAGCCCTCCGACGCCTCGCGCTCACCTATGATTGTCCGCTGGTCAGTCTGCCTGAGGATCAACAAGGACTCGGCCGACTTCACGTCGCCCACACCCGTCCGCCACTCTCGCAAGGAGGGGCCAAGAGGACCGCAGCTGCCGCTAAGGGCCCCCGGAAAGTCGCGTACCCCAGTCCCTTTCCCCTCATAAAACCAAATTCAGGGCCAGATCCGAGTTACTCAAGAGCAGAATTTAAGACCTCGCAAGGAACACGCGCACAGATGCAAAGGGCCACGGTAAAATATCTTTTGGGATCAAAGCTTTGAAATTCTTTGTCCGCCACTGCCAGGCTTTCTCAACCCGATGGGGGCACAGTACTAAGTGACATCTACATGCACTTAACACATCCAAGCAAAGGCACACAGGCGTCCTCCCCACCCCTTACGAGGGGGTGTCGCACTCTAAGGCGGCCCCTTACCAGGGACATCTCCTGTGGGGCTCCCCACAACCGCGACGACAGCCCCACGCAGGGTTTGCGACTTCCCAGAGACACTAGCGGACACGCAGCACGTGATCTCCCATCCCGCTCTCGCAAGCATGCCCTACGATGCGGAGAGATCAAATGTCCAGGTTAAGGCGAGACGACACACGGCTTTCCCAGAGAGCGCTGGGGCACACGACAGAGAGGGCAACGCCTCCAGTGAGACGCACCCAACCCCCCCACCCACGGGTTCGACACACCGCCTCGACCCCCCAGAGAGTGCTCCTGGGTTCAAGAGAACCAGCGCAGCAACACACCCAACAGCAAGCACCATGTGGCGGGCCAGACAGATAAACGACCGGGAACGGGAACGGGAACTACACCCCGGCTCAGCCTCGGGCAACTGAGGGGACAACCTGGAGCGCTCCAGGGGCACCGGCAAGGGGCCGATCCAGGCACAACCCTGTGCAGACCTCGGCAGGTGCACGGTGCAGCAGGAGGGACAGACCATCCCCGCCACGGGGAAGACCCATGGCCAAGAAAAGGAGCGCGGGATGGCCGCTCAGACCAACGGATCCACACACCCGCGAGCCCACACCGTGAGGCAAGAGGAGCGAGCATGCGAGGGCGAGTAAGATTCTGCACCCCTGCTCCTCCCCCACACACCGGCAAGCGGATGGCGGCAAGAGGCTAGGGCCCACGGACAGAGCGAGAGGAGCGGTCCCGTACATGGCAAACGTCCGTCCCTCGTCTGGCGTGGCTTAGGTCCGGCTCGGGAGAGCGC